ACAACCAGTATCTCTCCAGGACACCTCCGAAGCTGTTCCGAAAAGAATACACATCGCTGTTCACATAAGGCATGGGTTCCTGGTATCCTGGCAACTTGATTGGCCAATGCTGGACACTCATCTCATAGCCTCCGTGCCAGTGGGCATCTCCCCAGAACATTTTGTGGTCCACCACCATGTCTGTTAAAAACTCTTCCCAGGTGATGGAGTAGCAGATCACAGTCCTCTTTGGTTTAATTGCCCTGATAGTGAAATTAATCTTTCTTTTCTCTGTCCTGGTGCAAGTTAACATGTCCTTCTCCTGGAAGCAGGATTCCAGGTCAAGGGCCCCAGATTGAAAGGTCAACCTGAAGATCATGTCTCCAACCTGGTTCTTGATGGTGAACCCATCCTTTTCTAACTCCAGCTTTTCAACCTTCATTGTCTTCTGGAAAACAATGGCATAGGGGCACCAAAGTGCTACCACTATTAGAAATAATCCCATTAGGAGTAAGGCGCACACCACAAAACAAAACGGTGAGGCGGCTGGAGGCATCTGGCTGAGTTCTTGCTCCTTCTCCATCTGTTCTCCTTTCCCTTGACGACGGAAGGGCTGGGTTTTCATTTCCCTAGAACCAATGGCTCAATCTGGATTTTGCCCTTGAAATGAAATGAAAAACAAAACTTTGGGTTTTGCGGATTAGGTAAATTTATTGTTATAGGAGTGGCTAATCCACATTCAGCCCGTACAGGTAAAAAGTGGAGGCTGCAATATTTTTGTTTTATTCTACAGATAGTCCTCGACTTACGACTACAATTGAGCCCCAAATTTCTTTTTTTAAGAGAGATATATGTGAAATGAGTTTTGCCTCATTATACGATCTTTCTTGCCACAGTTAAGTGAATCAGTAGAGTTGTTAAGTTAGTCACCCGATTGTTAAGTGAATCTCGCTTCCCCATTGACTTGGCTTGTCAGGTCACAAAAGGGCATCACGTGACCCTGGGTCATTGCAACCTCAGTAAGTAAAAAAGATGTTGAGACTCTAGAAAGAGAAGAGCAACAAAGATGATTAGGGGACTGGAGGCTAAAGCATATAAGGAACGGCTGCTGGAATTGGGTATGTCTAGTTTAATGAAGAGAAGGACGAGGGGGGACAGGATAACAGTGTTCCAATATCTCAGGGGCTGCCACAAAGAAGAGGGAGTCAAGCTATTCTCCAAAGCCCCTGAAGGCAGGAGAAGAAGCAACGAATGGAAACTAACCAAGGAGAGAAGCAACCTGGAACTAAGGAGAAACTTCCTGACCGTTAGAACAATTAACCAGTGGAACAACCTGCCTCCAGAAGCGGTGAATGCTCCAACACTGGAAGTTTTTAAGAAGAGACTGGACAGCCATTTGTCTGAAATGGTATAGGGTGGACTAGATGACCTCCAAGGTCCCTTCCAACTTTATTATTATTATGGATCATCGCACAGTCAGCCAGATGTTCAGATTGGATTTGGCATTTTGTCTACCTATCAGTCCTTACCCAGGACCTGGGATAGGCAGATGTGGATGTTTGATGGTATTACAGGTATCGTCGCAGGATGGAAGCAGTTCCTAGTAAGGCCGCCTTTTGCAATTGACTAATAGCGAATTTGTCAATGCCAATGGTGTTCAAGTGGTGCTCCAGTTGTTTTGGGATTGCACCCAAGGAGCCTATGACTATTGGTACTACCCTTGCTTGCTTTTGCCACAGTCTTTCTATTTCTATTTGTAGGTCTTTGTATTTTGTTATCTTCTCCAGTTCTTTCTCTCTATTCTGCTGTCTCCAGGCACTGCCACATCCACTATCCAGACTTTTTTGTCTTTCTTATCGACAATTGTTAAGTCTGGGGTGTTATGTTGCAGGTGCTTGTCTGTTTGAATTCTGAAGTCCCAGAGCAGTTTAATTTTATCATTTTCTATGACTTTCTCTATTTTATGATCCCACCAGTTTTTGCTTACAGGCAAATGATATTTTTTGCAGATCTTCCAATGCACCATTGTTGCTACTTTGTCATGCCGCTGCTTGTAGTCAGTCTGTGCAATCTTCTTGCAACAGCTTACCAAGTGGTCCACTGTTTCTTCAGCTTCTTTGCATAGGCGGCACTTACTGTCTGTTGCTGTCTTCTCAATTTTGACTTTATATGCATTTGTCCTTAAGGCTTGGTCTTGTGCATTTGTCCGAATTGGTCTTGGGCCATAAGAATTTTCCTCTCTTAGCCATTTCCAGCTCTTAGCCATTGCCAGGTCTTGTTATTATCTGCTTTCCCAGCTATTTTTTTAATGTATTGGCCATGTAGTGCTTTGTCTTCCCATGTTGTTGTTGTTGTTATGGATCATCGCACAGTCAGCCAGATGTTCAGACTGGATTTGGCATTTTGCCTACCTATCGAGTCCTTACCCAAGACCTGGGATAGGCAGATATGGATGCTTGATGGTATTACAGATATCGTCGCAGGATGGAAGCAGTTCCTAGTAAGGCCGCCTTTTGCAATTGACTAATAGCGAAATTGTCAATGCCAGTGGTGTTCAAGTGGTGCTCCAGTTGTTTTGGGATTGCACCCAAGGAGCCTATGACTATTGGTACTACTATAAGTAGTACCAATAGTCATAGTATATATGACTATATATTATATAGTTGTTGTTGTTGTTGTTATTATTATTATTATTATTATTATTATTATTATTATTATTATTATCTCTTTCTCTCCCTTTTCCCTTCTGCCCTTTCCCCGTTATTTTTATTTGTATTTTATACATCAGCGACGTTAATAAAATTATTCTTTAAAAAAAAAAAAAGTACCGTTGGCTCAATGGTAGCCCTGAGGGAGAAGCTTTTGAATACCCTTATACCAAAATGCTTAGCTTTGCCTTCTACAGCGAGAACACAAACACACCAGAATGCAGATGTTGTTACCTAATTTATGGATCCTGATTCTTGGACGGGGGGGGGTTCTTTGCCGTTCTCCCCTCCCCCTCTTCTCTGGCCAAAGTCAGTGTCCTCTTGCCCGCTGCTCTGTCCAGCTCAGCTGATCAAGGAGGGTTATGCAATTGTGTTTCCCAGCTGAAGATGTGCCAGGATAGCTGGGCCTTTGAAATAACTGGTGGGGAGGGGAGAGAGAGAAAGGGGGAAGACATTTTAAAGAGAGAGAGTCCTGGCAGAGGCGGGGGGGGGGGTTGTTGAATGCAGAAGTAGCTCTCAATATAAATTGCATGCAAAGCCACCGGGGCGCAGAATCCCACGGTGAGATTGCGGAGGTCTCTGCTGGTGAAATCTGGCAGTGTTTGTCACGTTTAGCAACTCCAGGAGGTGTGGATTTCAACTCCCAGAATTCCTCAGCCGGCCATATTTCTTAAAGTCACTACAGTTGAGAAACACTGCTCTAGACCAGGGCTTTTCAACCTTTTCACCCATTGGGCCACTTTTAGGATATGGCAGTATCCACCGTCGCCTAGCAAGGTGTCACAAACTTGATGACTAAAAATAAAAAAAAGGAAAAAAGTGATAAAGTACAGGTAGTCCTCGACTTACAACAGTTCGCTTAGTGACTGTCCGAAGTTACAATGGCACTGAAAAAACTGCCCCCCAAGCCACAACCGAGGCATAGAGCACCTGCCTGCCCACCCAGTGGCGCTCTTCCTCCTGTCTGAAGTTTTCATTGTTGTAGCATTTCTGTTGAGGATTGGCAACAAAGGTGGGGTGGGGGGTGTTTGGTTTTTATTCCCCCCCCATCTGCTGGGTGGTTGCAGCAAGTTTTGGTCACTTCACATGACCCTGGGATACTGTGACCGTCATAAATATGAATCAGTTGCCAAACATCTGAATGTAAATCACAAAACCCTGGAGATGCTGCAACATTCCAGCTGATCGGCGCTTCTTCTGGGCTCAGCAGAAGCGCCAGGATCAGTGCTGCTTTCCAGCTGATTGGTGCTTCTTCAGGGCTCTGCAGAAGCACCAGGATCAGCGCAGAGCTCCAACTGGAGCCTGGCGCTGATCCTGGCGCTTCCACTGAGCCCTGACAGCCCCGAAGAAGCACCAATCATCTGGAAAGTGGCAGTGATCCTGGCGCTTCCGCTGAGCCCTGACAGCCCTGCAGCTCCAGCCATCTCTCGCTCAGGCTTGTGGGGTACTGCCACCGGTTCAGCTCATTCCCCTCCCCCGCTATCACTTTTCTAAGATGGTCACGTACCACCTGCCAGGTGCCAATGTACTACAGGTGGTACCCGTACCACTGGTTGAAAAGCCCTGCTCTAGAATATGGTGATCATGTTACCTGGTTTGATAAGGAAACATCTGCAAGAAAAACACCAAGATCAGAGAGCACCAAGGACCCAACATTCGTCCTCCTCCTCTTCCTCCTCCCCCTTGCAAATCTCTCTCCCTTCTAGAACTGATGATGGTACCTAGTTGGGTAATGAAACGTCTGCCAGAAAACCATCAAGCTCAGAGAGCACCAAGGATCCCATAGTCGTCGTCGTCCTCCTCCTCCTCCTTGCAAATCTCTCTCCCTTCTAGAACTGATGATGTTACCTAGTTGGGTAATGAAACGTCTGCCAGAAAACCATCAAGCTCAGAGAGCACCAAGCACTCCACAGTCCTCCTCCTTCTCCTCCCCCACTCCCCCCTGCAAACCTCACTCCCTTCTAGCACTGATGATGTTACCTAATTGGGTCATGAAACGTCTGCAAGAAAGCCAAGCTCAGAGAGTAGCAAGGACACCCCCCTCCCCCCCAAAAAAACTTGGCATTTCTTTCCCAATTCCACCCCTCCCTGCCTCCCATTGCACTGGTCCCTTCCTCTGATGGAACTCCCCCTCCTTGCTTTTCTTCTTATTCAAGAAAAAAAAATGTTTTCTTTTCTTAAATGATGCATTTTGCTCTTTAGCATCTTTTCTTAAAGTGCAGCCAGTTTGGGGAATGAAAAGAAACTCAACAGAGTTTCTCCCTGTAGTACAATTTGTCCTTTTCAAAGGCTGCTTCCCCCCCCCCCATCCCTCAAGTACACAGACACCAATGCACGCACACACAAATACACACACTTTCTTTGGCAAGCAACAATGGCCCTTTTTACGGGAAGCTTAACATGGATAATTCTCCTTTCTTGGCTGAAGGGTAAGTGTGTTATTCCACTGTTGCTTCTTTAATTGATTTTCTATTAATTCTGCTGATCAATCCGATTAAGCACAAATGAAATTATTTTTCTTCCTTTTCGAGGGACCCTCTTTTGGTTTTTATTTGTGCGGGGAGGGGGGGAAACTTCTGTGTCTTTTGTTGTGGGTTGGCTGCCCCTGGCAACAAAAGGACTTTGTGAGTTCCTGTGTGCAGGAAAAGGCTGTTTGAATTCAAGGAAACCAAGGCAGGGAAAAGTCTTGTGAAAAAGCACATCCTAAACGAGCAATTTGAAGTCCGCAGAGCTGAAGGGGGGGGGGACTCTTGATTTGAAATCCAAAACAATCATGAAATCTTGACAGACATCAAATTCTCCAACTGGCTTACCTGTCAAGAAAATTATGAGAATCAAATCTTTGTGATAGAGCCCCAGCTCTCTAAGAGAAAGGTTAGACTGGCCATTAGACCCAGTCAGAATTGTTAAAAATTTATTTATTTATTTATTTATTTATGAGACTTATATACCGCTTTAAGTGCAAGCACTCTCTAAGCGGTGTACACCAGTAAGCAATGTGTGTACACATAATGATGGTGAAAATGCGACTCCCGGGCATAATTATAAATGGAATGAATTATATTTTCCCAACGAAAGCTTGGCAACCTTTTAATATAGTAAAATACTTTAATTAAAGTATTTTAACTTTAAACTCTCCTGGTGAACGCGCTTTATTCATTCCATGAATAAAGGTTTTCTGAGGTTTTCGCGGGTATTTGTATGTAGGTCTTTGGTTGTTCGGGTTTTCTCCCGCGTAAAGCACGAAACTGAAAACACCAGCCTGAAGATGACGAATGAGACTTCGTCGAAACGTTGCCAAGACACTTCCAATTATTGCCTCCAACAATCTGGAATAGTTTAGCTAAATTAGGGGACTGGAGGGTAAACCATACAATGAACAAAGAAGAAGTGAAGGACTAGGGGTGACATATGATAGCAGTGTTCCAATATTTGAGGGGCTGCCATAAAGAAGAAGAGGGGGGGTCAACCTATTCTCCAAAGCACCTGAAGGCAGGAAAAGAAACAATGAATGGAAACTATTCAAGGAGAGAAGCAACCTGGAAATAAGGAGGAATTTCCCTAGAACAATTAACCAGTGGAATGGTTTGCCTCCTGTGGTTGTGGATGTTCCATCACTGGAGGTTTTAAAGAAGAGATTGGACAGCCATTTGTCTGAAATGGTATAAGGTCTCCTGCTTAAGCAGGGGGTTGGACTAGAAGACCTCCAAGGTCCCTTCCAACTCTGTCATTCCATATCCCTTCCAACTCTGTCATTCCATATTCTGTATTCTCCACATCTGGCATGAGGTACCTAAAGCGTTTATGATTTAAGAACTGCAAACAGATTAATGGTGATAATGAACTGGAGTTGATCATTAATCATTGGTGGCACTGCCCTCTCTGTGCCAGTGATAAATGAACTGGTGTGATCCATTTCTCCAAGCACTGTAAAACAAGTGAGGTCACTGGAGATAAAATGTGGAGGGAAATGAAGACATTGCTTGCTTTTAATTTAAATTTATAAGGTAGACCTCGATTTACGACCACAACTGAGCCCAAAATTTCTTTTGCAAAAGGAGACAGTTGTTAAATGAGTTTTGCCCCATTTTATGACCTTCCTTGCCATAGTTGTTAAGTGAATCACTGAAATTGTTACGTTAATAACTGAAATCAGTCTCCTTACGATTGGCCCAAGGTCACCCAATTGGCTTTCACAGCTAAGGCAGGACTAGAACTCACTGTCTTCTGGTGATTCGCCCAAAGTCACCCAGCCGGCTTTTGTGCCTAAGGCAGGACTCAAATTCACCATCTCCCAGTTTCTGGTCTGCTGCCTTAACCACTAGACCAGGGGTAGGCAACCTTGGCTGTTTTATGACTCGTGGACTTCAACTCCCAGAATTCCTGAGCCAGCATGGCTCAGCTTGGAAACCTCTCCCATTTCCCTCAGCATGGCTGGCTCAGGAATTCTGGGAGTTGAAGTCCACAAGTCATAAAAGGGCCAAGGTTGCCTACCCCTGCACTAGACCAAACTGGCTACATTAATCAAAGAAACTCCTAGTGCAGTGGTTCTCAACCTGTGGGTCGGGACCCCATTTGGGGTCGAACGACCATTTCACAGGGGTCGCCAAACAACATAGTCCACCATTTTTTTCCCGCTTTTCCTTAGCTGTGCTACTCCCTTTTATTCTACTGGCTTTTGAAAGCCAATAGAATAGACTCTCTTGAATAGAGTCTAATTCTATTGGCTTTCAAAAGCCAATAGGAATTGTCCAGGCTGTCTCTGCCCTGCTGAGCCCGCCAAAAGTCCCATTCTGCAAACGGTGCTGCACCAGTTGAGTAGTCCTCGACTTACGATCTGTTGAATAGTCCTCGATTTACGACCGGTCGGGGGTCGCGGCATTAAAAAGGTTGAGAACCACTGTCCTAGTGACTAAAAACATTACTCAAAGAGACTCCCCTCTCCTGCTCCCATCCCCTGAAAAATATAACGCTTTCTTTATTCACCCCAGATCTCGGAGGAGGGCGCAGCTTCCTCATCCAAAATGTCCGTCTGCAGAAATGCATCCATGCCTCGCCTCACAAAGCTGAGCGGGTCGGTCTGTCCGACTGCAAGGCACACTCCCCACAGCACCAGTGGAGCTGGGATGGGGCTGCCTTGGCCCTGGTCAACCAACACACGAGGGAATGCCTGGCTGTCTCCAACGCAGAAGAACTGGCAGTAGCCCAGCTGGACCCGTGTGGGGAGGGGTCACTTCAGAGGTGGTCCTGCAGCAAGAAAGGCCACCTGACCTTACAAGGACACGGTCTTCATCTCAGCACGAAGCTGGGAGGACATCACACCTTCCTCTCCCGGGAGAAAGACCGGTTCAGCAAGTGGAGGACAGATACCGGGTCAATCGTCTGTGCCACGGATCTGGCGAGAGCAGCGGGAATCGGCGAGCCAAGGGGGCCGTCCTCGGACACCTTGGAGGGGGAACCCGAAAGTAAGCTAAAGATGGATGTTTTCATAGAATAAAGATGGTCCTCCACTTATGACATTCATTTAGCAACCGTTTGAGGTTACAATGTCACTGAAGCAAGTGACTTAAAATGGAGTCCTTTCACTTGTGATTATTGTAGGTTCCCCACTATCATGTGGTCAAAATTAGGACATTTGGCAATTAGCATGGATTTATAGCAATAGCACTTTTTTAAAAAAAATATTTTTTATTTTTCCAAACTCTCCCCCATACATATACCGTGATATTTATCAGATGTTAACATACATTCTTTTTACATTCATGTATAAGATACTTTTAATAAAATGAAATAAATACATACACATGACTTTTGGTGTTGCTCGCCCATTTCCCCTTTCACTGTATCCACACTCCTTCTTCTCTACCTTCTTTCTCCCTTTCGTCTCTTCCCTACTTCCCTCTTCTTCCTCTCCTCTCCTTCACCACTCTCCTCCCCTTTCTCCCCACTTCTCCTCTTCTCCTCCAACCTTCCTACTTCCTTCTCCCCTCCTTTACTCTTTTCTCTCTCCTCTCCTTTCTTCCCTCTCATCCCTCTTCAGATACAATTCAGGGGTAATGTCCGAGCAACTCCTCTCTCCAAATTTCCCTATCTGGCAATAGCACTTTTATATACTGCTTCATAGTGCTTTGCATATGATAGACAGACAGACAGACAGACAGACAGACAGACACACACAGAGAGAGAGAGAGAGAGAGAGAGAGAGAGAGAGAGAGAGAGAGATTACAGGTAGGTAGGTAGGTAGGTAGGTAGAGAGAGAGAGATATTAGAGAGAGAGATACAGAGAGAGAGATTATAGGTAGGTAGGTAGATAGGTAGGTAGGTAGGTAGGTAGGTAGGTGGGTAGGTAGACAGACAGACAGACAGACAGATAGATAATAGAAAGATGGATGGATAGGTGGGTGGGTGGATGTATAGATGTAGCACTAGCAATAGCATTTAGACTTATATACTGCCTCATAGCACTTTTACAGCCCCTCTCTAAGCAGTTTACAGAGTCAGCATTTTGCCCCCAACAATCTGGGTCCTCATTTTACCAACCTCAGAAGAAGGGAAGGCTGAGTCAACCTTGAGCTGGTCAGGATCGAACTCCTAACAGTGAGCTGAATTAACCTGCAGCAGTGCATTCTAACCACTGTGCTGCCACAGCTCTTGGTTGGCTATTAGATATTAGGATCCTAGATAGCAGTAGCACTTAGACTTATATCCCACTTGACAGTGCTTTACAAACCTCTCTAGGCCAGGGGTAGGCAACCTTGGCTCTTTTTTGACCCAGAATTCCTGAGCCAGCATGGCTCAGCTTGGAAACCTCTCCCTTTCCCCTCAGCATGGCTGGCTCAGGAATTCTGGGAGTTGAAGTCCACGAGTCATAAAAGAGCCAAGGTTGCCGACCCTTGGCCTAGGCGGTTTACAGAGTCAGCCAGTTGTCCCCAACAGTCTGGGTCCTCATTTTACCAACCTCAAAAAGATGAAAGAATGAGTCAACCTTGAGCTAGTCAGGATCGAACTGCTGGCAGTCGGCAGAATTATAGCCTGCAATACGGCATTCTAACCACTGCGCCACCAGGGCTCCTCGGTTACGACAGTTGCAGAATCCCCAGGTCACTATTTGCAATTTTCCGACAGGTAAAGTCAGTGGGGGCAGCTTGATTCCTTTAATGACCGCGGGATCAGCTTAACAAATGCAATGATTCGCTTAATAATAGAGACCCAAAGAAGGCTATAAAATTGGGTGTGATTCATTCAACAAGAAGCTCAGTTAGCAATAGAAATTCTAGTTCCAATTGTGGTCATAAGTTGGGGACCACCTGTACCGTACTACTTGCGGTGTGTCAGCTCTTTGAGGTAGATCAGATAGAAAAAACAAATCCAAGAGTACTAATACTACCTTTCTTGCAAGGTTATAGTAATAGAATCTTGCACATCCCTCTCCCTTAACTTTAGGGTCCCTTATATGAGATGCTTCTCTACAGGTCTCCTCCTTCTCCTCCTCCTCCTCCTCCTCTTCCTCCTCCTCCTCCTCCTCCTCCTCCTCCTCCTCCTCCTCTCCCCCCATCCCCACTCCCTTCTAGCACTGATGATGTTACCTAGTTGGGTCATGAAATGTCTGCCAGAAAACAACCAAGCTCGGAGAGCACCAAGAACCCCACGGTTGTCCTCTTCCTCCTCCTCTCCCCCCATCCCCACTTCCTTCTAGCACTGATGATGTTACCTAGTTGGGTTATGAAATGTCTGCCAGAAAACAACCAAGCTCGGAGAGCACCAAGAACCCCACGGTTGTCCTCCTCCTCCTCCTCTCCCCCCATCCCCACTCCCTTCTAGCACTGATGATGTTACCTAGTTGGGTCATGAAATGTCTGCCAGAAAAGAACCAAGCTCAGAGAGCATCAAGGACCCCGCAACTCTTATTATGCTCTGGAAACAAACTCCTTATGTCCAACCACACTTGGCCAACAGAGAATTCTCTTCTGTTCTCTCTGTGTCTTGGATGCACTGAAGAAAAGATAGAATTTCTGAACCTTCTGAGAACACTTTTTTTTTTTTTTTTGCAGATAAAACAGTTGGTTCCCTTGAGATCTACACCCCTCCTGTGAAGGCCACGACATTCTTAATGATCCATTTGGAAAGCCAGTCCTATGTCACCAGCAGACTTCCAGTGTCCAACAACAGACACCTTGAAGCAGATGACAGTGAGTATGGAGGTGCCACCAGGACCATGAGAAACTAGCTGAGCCTTGATGTTAAGGGGTGTCCCGGGAAAGAGTTCAAAAATTTAGTCAGAAGTGCAAGTTCTCAAACTCACCCCTTCTTGATCTGCACCGGTGTCATGTCAACAACTCTATCTCAGCCACGGATACTGAAAAAGTGGCTGCCACGTCTTCTTGAAGCCTGCGTGGCCCTCTTTTAAAGCCACCAACAGCAGGACCATCACTGAATTAGTCATTGAAATGTTCATCCCTCTAAAACATGGGTCTCCAAACTTGGCGTGGCTGGCAAGTCTTAGAGTTTTAAAGACCCCCTGCCCTAAAAAAAATGAACATGGCATACAAGAAAGATGCTTAAGGTACTTCCATTGTTCGACAAAAGGAACACCCATCTTATTTTGCTGGCATCTTCTACAGCCGGGCTAAGGATCAGTAAAGACCCATTAGCAGGGTATGCGCAGTGAGGGAGATTGAAATCCAGCAAACAACATGGTAGATTCATCGGGGTGCGTTGTGTCAGTTTGGCCTCAGTAAACAGAGATTCTTTCTGGCTCTCCATTCAGGAGATCTTTGTTCCATTCTGTCTTCTTCTCCTTTTTCACTCCAGAAACATATCCTCCACATCAAAAGCACCAGGAGAAGGCTACTGGTCCCCCAAATCTAGGTAAGGAAGTGGATATTAAAAGTAAGAGAGACGTTGTGATGGTTACAGACATAAAAGGTTTTTTAAAGAAAAACCAATACTTTCATAGGGATCTTCTTGAGAACTTCCCTGTACAAGAGAAGTCTATCTGGAAGCTTCACATGCACACTTCCCTCTTTTCTAGGTCACTTTGGTGGGTTGGAAGAGTTTTCTGACTTGGATATGTTGCTTGAGTATATGGACAACTAGCCAACCACAGAGATCTTATCCTTCCTGCTCTTATCTTAGCCTCTGGAAGGCCATCTAAGCTTACAGTCCTAAAATCCTGTGGCAATAGGTTCCACAAGTCATCCTTTTATGACATGACAAAGAAGAGGATTTTTTTTTTTAGTCTGTCTGGAATCCTCTGCCAATCTGACACCAATTTCTTTGGAGATACAGAAATATGGAAAAATCTTTCACTGAATCAGAAACTGGTTGCGTTCCCACATCACATTATGCCACCCTTTGTTTTAACTCTGGCTTATAAAAAAACAACAACAACACAAAAGCGCCTGGGTTCTTATCACATGCTAAGCCACAATTCACAAATCATGCTACTTTGCATAGGAGATCTCAGACCAGCAGAAGCTTTTGTGGGTCTTCAGAGGGGAAAATGTGGGGCTGTAGGTTGGCACATGTTATTTCTGTTTTCCATCATCCAGCTGGTGGACAGGAGTGGTCATTATGAGATGAGCAAATAGGTACCAAACCCTGCTGGTCCTTGGTAGCATCCGATGAACCAAAAAGAGAGTGAACATTGTTGGGGAAACTAAAAATGTCCTAACGATGAAGAACAATGGCTAGCAAAGAAAGGATGCTGAGACTCTAGAAAGAGTGCAGAGAAGAGTATCAAAAGTGATTAGGGGTTGGAGGCTAAAACATATGAAGAACGGTTGCTGGAACTGGGTATGAGTAGTCCAGGGATAGGCAACCTTGGTTCTTTTATGACTCATGGACTTCAACTCCCAGAATTCCTGAGCCAGACATGATAGCAGTGTTCCAATATTTGAGGGGCTGCCACAAAGAAGAGGGAGTCAAGCTATTCTCCAAAGGACCTTCATGCAGAACAAGAAGCAATGAGTGGAAACTAATCAAGGAGAGAACCAACCTAGAACTAAGGAGAAATATTTTTGGTGATGAAAACAATCAGTAGTATGGCTTCCTGCTTGAGCAGGGGGTTGGACTAGAAGACCTTCCAACTCTGTTGTTCTGTTGTCCTGTTATTCTCTGAGTGTTGCTTAGATAACTACTCTGTCCCCCAAGGTTACCCACAGATTCCATTATCTGCTTGAGCAGGGGAGAATTTTCCCAACAATTAGAGCAATTAATCAGTGGAACATCTTGCTTCCAGATGTTGTGAGTGCTCCATCACTGGAGGGTTTTAAGGGGAGATTGGACAGCCATTTCTCTGAAATGGTATAAGGTCTCCTGCTTGAGTAGGGGGATGGACTAGAAGACTTCCAACTGTTACTCTTGGTGCGAAGGTGCTTGTGATGTTCCCTTCTGTAGGTCTCAGCTGGAGAACAACCCTGCTCGTTCTGTGTCCTCTGGCCTTCATCCTGGGGATAATCATCCTGACGTTCAATATCCAATCCAAAAAGTAAGTGCTAGGCTAGGGCCGTGTGGGGTTGGGAGGAATTCTCATTCTTTATTTATGGGATGTTTATATGGCCACCATAACCCCACTCTGGGTGACTCAAGAGGGTCTGCTTCGGTGGCTGTAGGAAGAAGAAGCTGTTAGCTTTGAAGAGCCGGCAGATGAGCTGTGAGGAACACCAGCCTTCACCAGGAACGGTCAGCCCCACCTCCAAGATGCGCATCATCCCTGCCTCACCTTCTCCTTCGCTCAAGCATGGTGAGATCTTGATCGAATGGAAAGACGGGACCACCACCTCGCTCTTTGACCATTCCTACTAGCTGACCTACTCCATCTTCTCCTGACTGAATCTCTTGAAATCCTGTTTTTCTTAGCAGAGCTCTTTTGCTCACACTTCTATAGCTGTTCTCCTGCGGATTATGATGTAGACCAAGGGGTCTTCAAACTTGGCCCTTTTATGACTTGTGGACTTCAACTCCCAGAATTCCTCAGCCAGCATGCCTGGCTGAGGAATTCTGGGAGTTGAAGTCCACAAGTCATAAAAGGGCCAAGTTTGAAGACCCCTGATGTAGACTAATACTCTCACTAAAAAGAAAGCAAGGAAGCTGAAATGGCCTTCACACATGCCTTGTAGCTATTGTACGTTGATGACCAAACGAGGGCAGACTTGGGTCTAATTTTTGAGTGAGACACCATTCGGACTTCTAAAACATATAAAGAACGGTTGCTGGAATTGGATGTGTCTAGTTTAATGAAAAGGAGGACGTGGGGGTGACATATGATAGCAGCCTTCCAGTATTTGAGAGGTTGTCACAAAGAAGAGGGAGTCAAGCTATTCTCCAAAGCACCTGAAGGCCAGACAAGGAATAACTGATGGAAACTAATCAAGGAGTGATGCAACCTGGAATTAAGGAGAAATTTCCTGACAGTGAGAACAATTAAGCAGTACAACAGCTTCCTTTCAGAATTTGTGGGTGCTTCGTCCCTGCAGGTTTTTAAGAAGAGATTGGACAGCCATTTGTCTGAAACGGTATAGTGCAGTGGTGGCGAACCTATGGCACGGGTGCCAGAGGCGGCACTCAGAGCCCCCTCTGTGGGCACGCGCACCGTCGCTCCAGTCCTAGGCCTTCAGCTGGGTTTTATAAGGCCTTCAGCTGGGTTTTCGCTTTAGGCCTCCGCCGCCATGTGCAAAAAAAAAAAAAAAAGGTTCAATCAGTCAATTTCAACTTCTCGCGGGGAAAAAAAAAGTTCCTGCAAAATTGGAATTGATTGACCTTTTTAGTCCCACCCAGTCTGCCGTTACCACTGCAGCCATGCCCACCCAATTAGCCACACCCACTCAATGGGCCACACCCACCTGGCACCCGACGATGCATAAGTGGGTTTTGGGTTGCAGTTTGGGCACTCAGTCTCTAAAAGGTTCGCCATCACTGGTATAGTGTTTCTTGCCTGAGCAGGAGATTGGACTAGAAGACCTCCAAGGTCCCTTCCAGCTCTGTGATTCTAAGTACAGCCATCCCTTCAAAGAAGAGGGGGGGGTCAAGCTATTCCCCAAAGCACCTGAGGGCAGGACAAGAAGCAACAGATGGGAACGAATCAAGGAGAGAAGCAACCTAGAACTAAGGAGAAACTTGTTGACAATGAGAACAATTAATTAATGGAACAACAGAAGTTGTGGGTGCTCCAACACTGGAGGTTTTTAAGAAGAGACCGGACAGCCATTTGTCTGAGATGATATAGGGTCTCCTGCTTGAGCAGGGGGTTGGACTAGAAGACCTCTAAGGTCCCTTCCAGCTCTGTTATTCTGTTATGCTCAGGACTAGGTTGCAAAAGCATTTCAGAGAATGAGGTCCAGCATCTTCCGCATTATTGACAAGGAAACTCTTTGGACAAGCTACTACAGAATCCCCAGGCATACCTTGAAGAGGTTAGCTTTTATTGGCAGAGAGATATTTAACTTGCTTGCTTGTTGGATGGATATCCACTTCTTGTTAACATACTGACAACCACATTCATTAAGCAATAAGGTCATGCTAGCCGTGTGTGATTGCCCTTGTGTGAATGCAGAGAAAAGTTAGTAATTTGCCTGGTCTACACTTGGCACACCTGAACCCACAATAATTGTTCAGAGCTTGGAGACTTTATGCTTGAAGGCGCTTCAGAAACTTTTCCTAGGACAAAATGCAGTTTATTTCTAAAAGCATAGCTACTGAGCTGACTAACAATGATGGGCTTTTTAAAGCCCAAGTTTAAAGTATAAGTCAGCAGTGTTTTTCATCCTTGCCAAATTTAAGAGGTGTTGACTTCAACTCCCAGAATTCCCCAGCCAGCCACGCTGGGGAATTCTAGGAGTTGAAGTCCTGACTTAAAGTAGCCAAGGTTGAGAAACACTGGTATAGTGTTTAGACCAGGGGTAGGCAACCTTGGCTCTTTTAGGACTTGTGGACTTCAACTCCCAGAATTCCTAAGCCAGACACACTGAGAGGAAAGAGAAAGGTTTCCAAGCTAAGCCCTGCTGGTTCAGGAATTCTGGGAGTTGAAGTCCACGAGTCATAAAAGAGCCAAGGTTGCCTACCCCTGGCCTAGGAGGCTCACCGCTTAGAACAGGAGACCTTATACCAGGGGTAGACAACCTTGGCTCTTTTATGACTGATGGGCTTCAACTCCCAGAATTCCTGAGCCAGCATGGCTCAGCTTGGAAACCTCTCCCTTTCCCCTCAGCATGGCTGGCTCAGGAATTCTGGGAGTTGAAGTCCACGAGTCATAAAAGAGCCCAGGTTGCCTACCCCTGGCCTAGTCTATTAAGCCTGACAGGAGTAGATTATCAGAAACTGGTAGGTCTAGTCCACGGGTAGGCAGCCTTGGCTCTTTTATGACTCGTGGACTTCAACTCCCAGAATTCCTGAGCCAGCCACGCTGAGGGGAAAGGGAGAGGTGTCCAAGCTGAGCCATGCTGGCTCAGGAATTCTGGGAGTTGAAGTCCACGAGTCATAAAAGAGCCAAGGTTGCCTACCCCTGGTTTAGACCAAGTTCCAGAACTGCGTACAGGTAGTCCTCGACTTACAACAGTTCATTTAGCGACCAAAATTACAACAGCGTTGAAAAAAGACTATTTTTCAGAGTTAACGATTTTTGTAGTATTCCCATGATCAGGTGATCAAAATTCAGATGCTTGGCAACTGGTTCATACTTATGTCCACGGCTGTGTCGTAAGGTCATGTGATCGCCTTTTGCGACCTCCTGACCAGCAAAGACAATGGGGGAAGCCAGACCCACTGAACAACCAGGTGACTTAAGTTAACATCGGGCAGGGATTCACTTAGCAACTATGGCAAGAAAGGTCGTAAAACGGGACAACATCCACTTAACAAATGTCTCACTTAATAACAGAAACTTGGGGCTCAATTGTGGTCATAAGTCGAGGACTGTCTGTATAAAACAAAAGCGTTCCCTTTTTCTTTTTGGTTTTCCATTGTAAAGTGTTGATCAAGAGGATGCTTTGTTTTAAATCCGTGTCAGAATAAAATAAAAAGCGTGTTTAAAGTCAAGTCCAATTTCTCAGAAGGAGGCACCCTATCACAGATCATGCTATTGTAATCCTGCAGATTTGACTCTTTCAATAAATTGAACCCTCTAGAGCAGTGTTTCTCAACCTTGACAATTTTAAGGCATGTGGACTTCAACTCCCAGAATTCCACAGCCAGCATTGCTGGCTGTGGAATTCTGGGAGTTGAAGTCCACACGCCTTAAAATTGTCAAGGTTGAGAAACACAGCTCTAGAGCACAGTAGAGTAGTCTTGCTGGATTCATTCCAAAAGCCTTCCCAGGCTAAGTTGCCCGGAGGAGTCTCAGAAAGAGAGATGGGGTGGAATCTCCTGTGATTAACTCCATCTAAGACTGGAGCTTCTCTCATTAGGATCAAGTCCTTCGAGTGATCTTCTGCTTAGGACCCAACTAACTAAGACCTAGCAAGGGGAGACAACAAAGATCCAACTTGATCTGTATGGGCTTTTTGGATGAATCCAGACAGACTGTTTCTGCGTTAGCCTTCCTCAACATGGCACCCTCCGGAAGTATGCACTAAGTCCCAGAATGTGGAGTGGGGGTTCTTGGTGCACTCCGAGCTTGTTTTTTTTTTTCCTTGCAGAGGTTTCATGACCCAACGATGTAACATCATCAGTCCTAGAAAGGAGTGGGGTTTGTGGAGAGGAGGACTGTAGGGTCGGTCCTTGGTGCTCTCTGAGCCTGACTGCTTTCTTGCAGACATTTCATTGCCCAGCTAGGTAACATCATTAGTGCTAGAAGAGAGTGTGGCTTGCAGGGAGGAGGAGGAAGAGGAGGGGGAGGAGACGACTGTGGGGTCCTTGGTGCTCTTTGAGCCTGGCTGCTTTCTTGCAGACATTTCATTGCCCAGCTAGGTAACATCATTAGTGCTAGAAGAGTGTGGCTTGCGGGGAGGAGGAGGAAGAGGAGGAAGAGGAGGAGGAGGAGGAGGACTGTGGAGTCCTTGGTGCTCTCTGAGCCTGGTTGCTTTCTTGCAGACATTTCATTGCCCAGCTAGGTAACATCATTAGTGCTAGAAGAGAGGGTGGCTTGCAGGGAGGAGGAGGAGGAGGAGGAGGAGACTGAGAGTTCTTGGTACACTCTGAGCTTGGTTGTTTTCTTGCAGACATTTCATTACCCAATCTGGTAACATCATCAGTGATAGTGACTGTGGGATTTTGCTCCTGTTTTGTGAGCAGTGGCTTGCCCTGCATAAACTGGGAGAAAACTCCAACCCCGCTAGCACTGATGAGGTTACCTAGTTGGGTAATGAAACGTCTGCAAGAAGACAAGCAAGCTCAGAATTCTGGGAGTTGAAGTCCACCCACCTCAAAGTGACCAAAGTTGAGAAACACGGCTGCAAGAGTAAAAATAAAACCAGCAGTGCAACATCTGCTAAAACATTCCTGCATCCCAGGCTAGCTTTTATTCTATGGAAGAGAGAAAGTGATCAGCCTCTCTGAGGGTGCCTTGCATGTCCTCATATTCTGCAAGTCTGCAGGCCTCGCTAAGGCTCAGCCAGCGAAAGCCTTGATGCTCTGAAGAAAGCTTGATCTCCGTGTCCCGGTCCTTCAACTCAGCCAGCCAGTAGACCACCGTTTTGGGTTTGCCTCTGACCACGTAATTCAGTTCCTTCTTAAAACCTTCCAGGATGCTGAACTGGGTGGAGGCCAGGCCGGCCTCTTCCTGCGTCTCTCGCAGGGCTGTCTGCAGGTCATCTTCCCCTGGGTCCACATGGCCTAAGGAGAGAAGACAAAGCAGGGGTTTTGAAACAGGGCAGCCCCTCTCTGCCCCTGTGAGATTCTAGAGCAGTGTTGTCCAAATATGGCAAGATGGGTGGACTTCAACTCCCAGAATTCTCCAGTCAGCATGCTTTCTTGATATGCTAGGTGGCATTGGGCCAATCACTAGGAGCCGGTGAGTTTCCTTTGGCAGGAAAGACACCTGGGTGATTTGGGGGCCAATTACTGACTAGGAGATGGAGAGTTCTAGTCCTGCCTTAGCTATGTTAGGCAGCTGAGGGACTTTGGGCCAATTCCTCAGTCCAACTCACCTCCCAAGGTTGTGGCTGTAGGGCAGGGGTCTTCAAACGTGGCGCTTTTATGACTTGTGGACTTCAATTCCCAGAATTCCTCAGCCAGCATCATAAAAGGGCCAGGTTTGAAGACCCCTGCTGTAGGGTAAACAGGAGAGGAAGGAGTATTAGGTATGTTTGTCCCCTTGAGCTACCTATAAAATATATAGTAAAGGGGAAATAAAATCTAATAAATGATTAAAGTTCAAGAGAGTTGAGTGGATCCAGAGCTGATGCCAGAAACGTAGCTCAGTGTTTTTCAACCCTGGGCGACTTTAAGATAGGTGGACTTCAATTCCCAGAACTCTCCAGCCAGCAGGCTTTCTTTTTTAAAAAAAATTTTTTTTTTATTAAGTAGAAAGAAAAAAAAAAGGATTAAAAACATTGAACATGGTAAATCGTCTATGACTGACATCTCAGTCCATATTGTACATTAATTACATATAATATACCTATATACATTTCTAGTCTCTATCTCAGTTTATCTCTTTACTGTGACCTCCATTTTTTTCCCTCCATCTATAAAATTTATTCCATATTCGATAAAATTCTGTTTCTTCCTGATTTTTTAATCTTTTAGTTATCCTATCTAGTTCTGCGCAATACATAATTTTCTTTATTAGTGCTTCCCCACTTGGTACTTCCATTGCTTTCCACTTTTGAGCAAATAGTATCCTTGCTGCTGTGACCACATGGATAATTAAATATGTGTCCTCTTTATTTACATTTTTCTCTAGCATTCCTAATAATAATGTCTCCGGTTTGTATTGAATGTTTTGCCTAGTCATTTCTATTGCCCAATCCCAGACCATACGCCAATGCACTGTGCTTCTCTACATGTCCACCATACATGAAAAAAGGTGCCCTTTTCTTTTTTACATTTCCAACACATAGATGAATATCCGTAATCGCCAGCCAGCAGGCTTTCTTGATTGGCTGATCTCCAGCCAAGAACCTGTCACTGGCTCCATCTCCAGTAGAAACTGCAGGGCTATTTCAGACAACAGGGTGAGTAACGCACCTTTTGGGGGTGTCCAGTGATGGGTCCCGTATGAAGTTTGCAGAAGGAGGTACTCAACGTGGCTGTCAGTTGCGGCAGTAGCACACGCCTTTGGCATCCTCCTGAAGATAATCAAGCCACAGGCTCTTAAGCTCATGATGGTCTTGCCCAAAAGACCAGCAGCGTGCAGCAGCAGCCAAAAAAAGTTAATGCAATCCTGTGTTGTATAAACAGAGGCACAGAATCAAGATCACGCGGAGTATTAGTACCACTTTATAAAATCCTAATAAGACCACACCTGGAATACTGCAACCAATTTTGGACACCATACTACAAAAAAGATGTTGAGACTTTGGAAAAAGTACAGAGAAGAGCAACTAAGATGATTATAGGCCTGGAGACTAAAACCTACGAAGAACAGCTGCAGGACTTGGGTTTGGATAGCTAGTCTAAAGAAAAGAAGAAATAGGGGAGACATGATAGCAGTATTCTAGTATTTGAGGGGCTGCCACAAAGAAGAGGGGGTCAAATTATTCTCCAAAGCAGCAGAGGGCAGAACAAGAAACAACTGTTGGAAACTAATCAAAAAGAGAAACAACCTGGAATTAAGGAGAAACTTCCTAACAGTGAGGACAATTAACCAGTGGAAGAGAAATTGCCTTCAGAAATCGTGGATGCTCCATCACTGGAGTTTTTAAGAAGAGACTAGACAGTCACTTATCTGAAATGGTATAGGTTCTCCTGCTTGAGCAGAGGGCTGGACTAGAAAACCTCCAAGGTCCCTTCCAGATTCTATTCTGTTCCGTTCCGTTCCGTTCTAGTTCTAATCTATTCTCTTTACACAGTTCAATCCTGAGCTATATATATTTGCTTCTATTGGTTATCTGTCTGTCTGTCTGTCTGTCTATCTCATTTATATCATCTATCTATCTATATCTATCTATCTATCTGTCTATCTATCTATCTATCTATCTATCTATCTATCTATCTATCTATCTATCTATCTTATCTATATCATCTGTCTACCTATCTACATCATCTACCTATGCCATCTATCTACCTATGTCATCTATCTATCTATCTATCTATCTATCTATCTATCTATCTATAGGTCTTTGGTTGTTCGGGTTTTCTCCCGCGTAAAATTGGAAGTGTCTTGGCAACGTTTCGACGAAGTCACATTCGTCATCTTCAGGCTGGTGTTTTTAGCTTCTTGCTATCTATCTATCTATCTATCTATCTATCTATCTATCTATCTATCTATCTATCTATCTATCTATCTATCTATCTACCTACCTACCTACCTACCTACCTACCTACCTACCTACTACTAGACCAACAATCAATCAGTAAACAACATCCTATTCAAGGAACTACCAAGAACACTCCACCGATTACAAGCTACTAGCACATAAACAGAGAGCAAACCCTTCTCCTTTCTAGTCCTGATGATATTACCTAGTTGGGTTATGAAACATCCGCAAGAATTCCACCTGGCTCAGAAAGCATGGTCCTCCTCCTCTTCCTCCTTTGCGCAAGCCCCACTCCCTTCTAGCACTGATGATGTTCCCTAGTTGGGTCATGAAATGTCTGCAAGGAAACAACCAAGCGCAGAACGTACTAAGGACCCCACAGTCCTCCTCCTCCTCGTTTACAAACCTATTCCCTTCTAGCACTGATGTTACCTCGTTGGGTCATGAAACCTCTGCAGCAGTTAGAGTGCAGTACTGCAGGCCACTTTAGCTGACTGTGTTCAGCAGGTCAGCGGTTCAAATCTCACCGGCTCAAGATTGACTCAGCCTTCCATCCTTCCGGGGTAGGTAAAATGAGGACTCAGATTGTTGGGGGCAATGTAAATATATTTATACATTGCTTACTGGTGTACACTGCTTAGTTAGAGAGTGCTTGCACTTAAAGTGGTATATAAGTCTCATAAATAAACAAACAACCCATCTCAGAGAGCATCAAGACCTCCACACTTCAACTCTTGAGCTACGAATGGTTGCTTCTATTGGTCCTTTTCACAAGTGTATGATGGCCCACAGTCACTCACTGAGGGCCATAATTGAAGGTGGTCTTGAACCTGGATCTACTTATGCCATACTTAAAACTACTACACCACAAGGGCTGCGTTGGAGTTGATGCAAGACCTTCCCTCGCAATTCAGTTTTGTGATCTTGGTTTCTAGGCGCCTTTATAGGTTAAGCCGTGAGCCACCTCCCTGTTGCAACCCTATTAGCAACTAATATTTTAATATTAATGTTAATATTTAATATTATTAATAGTAGTAGTAACGGCACGTGATTGCAATCAGCTGCACTAAAAGATGCACAACCGAACAAAGCCCATCAGGTTGACACAACCCACAACCAGACACGCCTGCAAGCCCGGCGGACCCCATTGAGAACCACCAGCGGCAGCAACCCGGCATACCTGTCCAAGCAACTCTCCTAAAAAAAAAGCATGAACAGATTCCGGAAATCTGGACTTCAACTCCCATAATCCCACAGTCCTGTGGACCTGGGATTATGCGGCATGTCAACCTGTGAGGGTTGAAGTTCAGCAATTCGGAGGCTTCGGATTGGGCAACACACAACCTGACAGTATTGAGATATTTTTTTTCTATTGGGTTTTATACCTGTCGATCTTAATGAGGTCATCTTCTCGCCCAATCACAATCATGCTATCAGCTGCTAGTACAACCGACGTTTCCTGCTTACGGTGATACCTTCTGAGCCGACTCCATCCAATCAGCGAGAGACAATAATAGAAGGCGTGGCCGATTGGGAGGATAGAATTATGATTGGCTTTAGCAGTTTGACAGATGGGAAGAAGACCACTAGAAAGATAGACTTTTAAAGACGGTCTCTACGGCCGCTGCCGCTTTCTGAGTGTCTTTTTCGCGCTCCTTTCCCCCCTCCTTTTTGATTGGATAATATAGGCCACACCTACTTCCTCCTCCAGCGTTTTATTGGTCCGCTGCACTGACGTAAACGGCGCGCCAAGCGGCGCGAGGGTTTGAAGACAGGCTTGGTCGCGTCGTCATGGAAACGCGGCCTCGCCGGTTCTCTTCTCACCGCGCTCGGAGGGAGAAAAGTTCCGGGGGTTTCGCGGAAGCTTCGCCGCGAGAGACAGTCAGACCGAGAGAGAGAAAGTTCGCCGGGAAAAGGGTAGGGGAAGGAGCCCTCCGGTAACAACGGCGGCGCGGAAAGGAACTCTATTCCTCGCCGGCCCTGTTGACATGGCAACGGGTGCGGCCCGTCGAGCCTGAGGCGTAAACATTAATAATTTTAATAATAAACAATATATTAAGATAGAAACTGGGACCGTTTAAAAGTGATGCTTCGCTTCCCGCTGGATTTCCCCCTCTCTCCTGTGAACAATGGGTGGCCAGACTGTTTTAATCTATTAAGGTTGTTTAAAGTGGTTTTTTTTGGATTGTTGTTGTTTTTTAAATGCAGAAAATCTTGGATGGAAGAAAAGTCCCAGAATCTCCAGGAAGAATTGAGGGAAAGGGGCAAAAATGTTTGCTTTCCTTGTCTGGGAATTACAGGCAGCTGCCTTTGGGAGCTGTTGAACTGAATTGAATTGAATTGAATTGAATTGAAGGAATTTGTCTCTGATACAGAGCACTCAGTGTACAGGTAGTGCTCGATTTACAACCGTTCATTTAGTGACCGTTCAAATTTACAACACCACTGAAAAAAGTGACTTATGACCGTTGCTCACACTTAACGACTCTTGCAGCAATTCCTGTGGTCACATGGTCAAAATTCAGACACTTGGCCCCTGACTCATACTTATGACGGTTGCACTGTCCCGGGGTCATGTGATTTCCCCTTTCGCGACCTTCTGCCCAGCAAAATCAACGGGGAAGCCAGATTCACTTAACAACCAGGTTACTAACTTAATCAACTGCAGTGATTCGCTTAACAACTGCGGCGAGAAAAGTCGTAAAACGGGGGAAAATTCAATCAACAAATGTTTCACTTAGCAACATAAATTTGGGGCTCCATTGTGGTGGTAACTCAAGGACTACCTGTAGTTTCAAATCATAGTTGGAAGATTATAGGGCTAGAGCAGGGGAGGTTGGACTAGATGACCTCCAAAGTCCCTTCCAACTCTGCTGATGTTCTGTGATGGAAACATTCCTGGGAGTCTTTAGTCCAATGCCAGCAAAGCAGAATACAGGTAGTGCTCGACTTATAACTGTTCATTTAGTGACCATTTGAAGTTGTAAGAGCACTGAAAAAAGTGGCATACACCCAGTTTTCATACTTATGATAACCACTGTAGCATCCCCATGATCACGTGATCAAAATTCAGACACCTGGCAACTAACTCATGACAGTTGCAGTGACCCAAGGTCATGTCATTTCCCTTTTGCGACAAGCAAATTCAAGGGGGAAGCCAGATTCACTTAACAAGTGACTAACTTAACTGCAGTGATTCACTTAACAACTGTGGCAAGAAAAGGTGTAAAATGGGGCAAAACTCACCTAACAAATACCTCACTTAGCAACATAAACTCTGGGCTCGGTTGTGATCGTAAGTTGAGGACTAGCTGTAATAGTGTGGGAGAAGGGTTGAGCAATGCAGTTTGCCAGCTCGCCGTTGGTGATTGCCTCTGATAAATGCACGTATTAATTTGCAGCATTTGGTTCTTTGGCCCTAAATAGGCAGCAACGATTGGGAGGCAGCATTTCTGTACCACTGTTGGTAATGGAAGAGATTGGAGGAGGAAGGTGATCCAGAAGACGGACCATTCTTTCCAGGCAAAGGCCAGGTGAAGTAAGATGATAAGCACAGCCGTGGTTTCACTTAGCAAGTGCTTTGCTTAATGATCAACTTGCTGGTCTCGATTGTGGTTGCTAAAGGAGAACTACCTATGAGCTTTTTATTCTTGCTAATTTGATAAATTACCAATCCAATGTCTATGGAGATTCTCAGTCACCCAGGTCATGGTTGTCCCAAAGGTGCTTTTTTCAGGAGGCAACTGGACTTTCTTGTTTTCCTTTGAAGACGTTTCGCTTCTCATCCAAGAAGCTTCAGCTAAACAGAGGGGGAGGGATATGACATCAACCGTCTCCAGTCTACAACACAAGTCTTTTCAGCAGTTCCAAGAAGGCTCCACACCCATTTGCACCACTCAGGTGACCCTGAGGACCCAGATAAATCTCCAGGTGACCTCAACGACTCTCTAAAAGGTGGCAAATGACCAGCTGCCCGCAAGGAATATTCCATTCCCCACCATTCAGTCAGAGCTGAGGAAGCTTCTTGGATGAGAAGCGAAACATCTTCAAAGAAAAACAAGAAAGTCCAGTTGCCTCCTGGAAAAAGCACCTTTGGGACTTCCAATCCCATGATTGCCAGCAGATTACTGAAAGCTCCCTTGAGTTTTGGAGGATCTCTTTCTCTGAGCTGGAACGAGCTCTTGGTAAAGTAGAAGAAACAATGGATGGAAACTAATCAAGGAGAGAAGCAACGTAGAACTAAGGAGAAATTTCCTGACAATGACAACAATTAATCAGTGGAACAGCTTGCCTCCAGAAATTGTGGGTGCTCCAACATTGGAGGTTTTAAAGAAGAGAGTGGACAGCCATTTGTCTGAAATTTTATAGGGTTCCCTGCTTGAGCAGGGGTTGGACTAGAAGACCTCCAAGGTGCCTTCCAACTCTGTTACTCTGTTATAAGTATGTTTTGTACTTTTAGGAGGAGATTCCTCATCTTGTTCTGTAGCTCGAAAGAAAAAAACAGATTGTCCAAAGACACTTTACCCCAGTTCAAGAATGAAGCAATTAAAAATATCCTGTATGCAATGACCTACTTTCTTTTATGTAGAACAATAAATGAAGAAAGCATCCTTGGACTTCTGGGAGCTTTGCTGAAGGAAAGAATTTACTATTTTCAGCTTCCTGGGATAACCCAGACTTGTTTTACTCATGCACCAGGAAAATGAGAAGCTTCCAGACCTCCCATCAGCTGCTGCTTTAAAGCAGATGCTCTGTATCAGTTGTGGTGCAGGAGCTTTTCCAGTGAGATCATTGGCCTAAACATAGTATGGAAGAATAACCAGGAAATTGATGAAGTTCAGTTGCTTTTACAGATGCTCCTTGATTTACAACCACTGTTGAGGCCAAAATTTACACTGCTAAGTGAGACATTTCTTAAGTAAGTTTTGCCCCATTTTACGGCCTTCCTTGCCACAGCTGTTGAGGGAATCACTGCAGTTGTTAAATTAGTAACACAGTTGTTAAGTGAATCTAGCTTCCCCATCGAATTTGCTTGTCAGAAAATCACAAAAGGGGATCACGTGACCTTGGGACACTGCAACCGTCATAAATATGAACCAGTAGCCAAGCATCTGAATTTTGATCATGGCGATGCTGTAAAGATCATAAGTGTGAAAAAATGTTCATAAGTCACATTTTTCAGTGCTGTTGTAACTTTGAACGGTCACCAAACTTTTTTTTTTAACTTTTTATTATTTTTCCAATCTTTGAAAAGCAACGTGGTGTCTGAGTTACAATAATTCCATTACATACAAATATTATTAATACAAATCTCCAACTATTACAGCCAATATTTCCTCTCTTTTTCCCTTGTTTAAATTAGTGTACTTCTTATTCTATCCATCAGCTACTTAATAGCTTTCTTACATTTGTCAATAATTTTATATGTCTTATTTATTTTAACCATTCCATCTTTTGGATCATCAATAACCTTATGAATTTTCCCAGCTTTAATTTTGCGTTGATATTTAAATTAAATGTTTAATATTTATCATTTCCAAATTTTTAAATGACCCCAATTCCCTTTGTCACAATTCCCCCCAACATCTAGTGTTCCAGATACGTATCTTATCTGTCTCACTTCTATATCAAACAGATCAGTAATACAATATAATATTCTTATTTTCATTATAATTTCCAAATATTATAGATTCAATAACCAAAATTTCTCCCCATTTCAGCATTCTTCCTTATGTCCACTTTCTCATATTTAAGCTTATAATTTTTATTCTTATCACTACATCAGAACATGTTGATTACATTACATCACTCTTTACCATATATATGTCTTAATCACCTTTATTTTACCTTTTTTTTAATTAAAAGTTTTAAAAATTTCACACAATATATATCCCCAATCCCTCCCACCCCTCCCTCACTTCCCAGAGCTGATTACAGGGTTACAAATAAACAAACATAATCTAAATAACATTACCCAACTATACTATCAATCAAATTCATAACACTTTAACTCCTCTTCAAAATAAATATTAACAAATGGAAAACAAAAATAATAATATAATTAAACCATAATACTAAGAATAATATAAATTCAACCATATTAAACTATTAATAATAATCTAGAAATTACTCATAAGCAAGATAATACTTTTCAGTCTGATATTTCTTTTGAATTATAATCAATCCATCTTCTCCAAACCGAAATATATTTTTCTTGTGAGTAGTCCTTCAAATAAGAGGAGATTTTTGCCATTTCTACTAAATTAGACACCTTAAGTATCCATTCTTCCATAGTAGGCAAAGAATTTTTCTTCCAATATTGCCCCACCAGTATCTTGCAGCTGTTATTTTACCTTTATAAACAACTCAATATTTCAATTTATTGATATTTATGCATCTAGGTTTTAATTAGCCAACATTTTTCTTTATCTTCACATCATAGCAATATCTCCTATTCAAAATATGGGCCTTGTCTACTTAGGTGTATTCTATTTTAAACCTCCTAAATATGTCCACATTCCAAACTCCTATAAGTCGAGGAGTACCTGTATTGGACCACCCAAAGGTACTTTTTTCAAAAGGCAACTGGGCTTTCTTTTTCTCTGTAAAAATGTTTTGCTTCTCATCCAAGAAGCTTCTTCAGAAGCGAAGAAGCTTCTTGAATGAAAAGTGAAATGTTTTTAAAGGGAAAAAAAAAAACAAGAAAGCCCAGTTGCCTTTTGAAAAAAAAAAAAAAAGTATTTTTGCGACAACCGTGAGGTGGATGATTGAAAATCTCCATAGACAGAAAATTTGAACTTTGTTTAATGAATATGAATGAATTAAGGTTTAATATTATTTTGTTATTTTAAAGAGAGGGATTGACTTTGGGATTACATATATATAGGGCTGATCAATATTTTATTGCTATTAAGATATCTATTCTATAGTGGAAGAAGAAATAAATGAGTTTGGTATAAAATGAGGGATGGGAGAGATTAAGAATTAGAACTGATAATTTTTTGTTTTAAATTTAAACTATTGTAATTGTAAACTGATAAAGTTATAATACAGGTTTAATAGTGATAGAAATTTAAAATAGAAATGGAATATTTAAATGTATTATGTTAACTGAGGGGAATAGAGAGGGGACAGTGAAATTTATTGAGTTGTGTTGTTTATATATATTTTCACTTTTGAATGTTTGACCACCCAACATCACGGTGGGTCTTGAGTACTTTTTGCTTAAGAATTTAAAAAAAAACCAATAAAATGTCTTTAGAAAAAGAAAAGAAAATCTCCATAGACATTTTATTGGAGCAGTATTTCCAGTTGCTTTGACATCTATAGAACTGTGAGGTTTTTTTTTTTTTATTCCTCCTTTCTTCTTTGTAAACTTTGTTGCTTTAAAAAAAAAATGAGGAAAAAATGGGCAGAATGGAGAGTAATAAGAGTTTGGATATAAAATGGGAAGGCTAAGAAGTTACCAATAGTTCATGGCTGTGTGTTGTTTTCTTCTGGAGAGAACAGTAAGGCGACATTCCTCCATGGAAAGGCAGGTAGTCCTCAACTTGCAACTGTTCATTTAGCGACCGTTTGAAGTTACAACAGCACTGAAAAAAGTGACTTACAATCGGTCCTCACACTTAGGACTACTTACGGGTCACGTGATCAGAAAATTAGTGCCATTTGCCCCATTTTACGACCTCTCTTCTTGCCCCAGCTGTTAAGTGAGTCACTGCGGTTGTTAATTTAATAACCTGGTTGTTAAGTGAATCCGGCTTCCCCATTGACTTTGCTTGTCAGAAGGTCGCAAAAGGGGATCACATGACCCCGGGACACGGCAACTGTCATGAATATGAACTTGGCAAGTGGCCTGTGTTTAGGAGGGCTGCCGCCTCTCGGGGTCACGTGATCACCCTTTGCCACCTTCCTAGCTGGCGTCCAACAAGCAAAGTCAATGGGGGGAAATCTCTTTACAACTGTCTTACTTAGTAATGTAAATTCTGGTCCCAGATCTAATAATAATAACAATAATAATAATAAAGTTGGAAGGGACCTTGGAAGTCATCTAGTCCAACCTCCTGCTCAGGCAGGAAACCCTATACCATTTCGGACAAATGGCTGTCCAGTCTCTTCTTTAAAACTTCCAGTGTTGGAGCATTCACCACCTCTGGAGGCAGGTTGTTCCACTGGGTTAATTGTTCTAACTGTCAGGAAGTTTCTCCTTAGTTCTAGGTTGCTTCTCTGCTTGATTAGTTTCCATCCTTTGCTTCTTGTCCGGCTTTCAGCTGCTTTGGAGAACAGCTTGACTCCCTCTTCTTTGGGGCAGCCCCTGAGATATTGGAACACAGCTATCATGTCCCCCCATCGTCCTTCTCTTCATACATACCCAATTCCAGCAACCGTTCCTTATATGTTTTCAGTCCCCTAATCATCTTTGTTGCTCTTTTCTGTACTCTTTCTAGAGTCTCAACATCTTTTTTACATCGTGGTGACCAAAACTGGATGCAGGATTCCACATGTGGCCTTACCAAGGCCTTATAAAGTGGTA